CCGCCGATATACAGCGCCCCGCTGAGGACCGCGTTTGCGTTCTTCCTCTCGGTGCTCATCTGCCCGCTCGCGTTTGGCGGGTCGTTTGTCGACATGTGGCTCGCCGGTGCCGGCGCCGTGTTTCTGTCGTTCATGCAGACCCGGGTCGCGTCCAAGTCGCAGATGTATGCAAACGTGTACGAGTACGTCCATATCGCTTCCCTCCTTATCCCTGCTGTGCTCGTGGTGACCCGCTCTCCCTCCAGAATCACCGTCACGACTGCAGTCTCCTTTGCTGCGCGGGGGCTGAGCAGCATCCGCGCACAAATATTCTGCTACACCGCCATCTCGTCCGCAGGCATCGTCGGCATCCTGCCTGGATATCTCATCCGTATGTCGCACCGTTCGCTGTCCCCGCGAGGACCTGCTCACCGTAGCGTGAAGTCAGTAGCTCACTGGAACTGGCCTCGAAGAACATCGTCTGCGGCAGCGTCAAGATGGTCTACGCCCTCATCTACACCCTGTTCTTGGTAAGCCCTCCCCCCGATTGACCGGCGCGTTCGAACACGCTGATCGCCCTCCAGGGCTTCGGGCTCCAAATTGGCTCCGACCTCTTCCTCATCTTCGACCGCGGCGCGCGGCGCGAGCTCGGGGTGCTTGCTGTGCGCATGTCCAAGTCCGCATACATCGCGGGTACGTTCGTGACCGACAACGCGTCGGCGATCCCGCCCGACCTGAACCACGGGCGCGCGCTCAGCGGCACGTTCACGTTCTCCAACTCGAGCTCGTTCGAGTACGCGTACATCGTCGACGGGTGCTACCGCCCGCCCGCGTTCCCGTGGTTCCTGCGGCCGTTCCCGTGGTGGACGCAGTTCGCGCTCGTGCCCGCGTTCTCCATCCTCTCCTCGCTCGCGAACCTGCAGCCGCTCTGGACGTGGGAGCTGCTCGTCATGGTCCTCATCTCGTGCGCGTCGTACGCCGCGAACAAGATCGCGAATCACTTCATCTTCAACCGCTCCGACGTCGTCTCCGCCATCGGCGCGTTCGTCGTCGGCCTCCTCGGCAACCTGTACTCGCGCAAGTTTGGCGGGACC